TTAATAAATTGCAAATTGCCCGGAAACCGTTGGCTTTTGCCCAGCATGAGTAGTTTCGCAACCGTGGTATAACCTGCGGAGTTCAACAGCTGAATAGTTTCGGTGGTTAAACTGAGGCTATCCTTCAACTGGTCAAGTCCGGCGATGGCGTACAACGACTCTGGGCTAGAGCTGGTTTCCGGGGCGGCTTCGGGCGGGGCTGGAGAGTTGAGGTTGAAATGACCATATAGGCGCTGAAGAAGATCACTGCGGACACCATCCACTTCGAGGCCTGCCTTGCGGCATTCCTCCTTGAGCTCAGGCACCTTTAACTTCTTCAAGGCCGTTTTGGAAGACATGATTTATGATCAGCGATAAAGCACAACGCCCGAGATCAAAACAATACTAAAAAATTCGTTAAAAATTAATGAAACAGTGGATTTACGAACTTATTTGTCTGTAACCATTTACTACCGTACAGATTCAAAACACAACGAGTGTTAGTTGAAAAATATTACACAAGGTAACAAAAACTGCTAAAGGTCACACGAAGGTAACTTGCAGTAAAAGATCAAAAACTAGCACTCTACGCTGCGGTATCAATGTCTCTAGGACTATAACTTGGCAGCGCAAAACCAAACTAAAAGATCGTTGAGAGGGAAACTTCCCCGAGCGGATATTTATATGGTCTTCCCTGGGGCGGAGCATAATCCTGCACTCCCAGATGACCAATGGCTACACGCTGCCAATAATTGCACAGGTTACGCAGTAACCTTTGGCTATAAATGCACATAACCGTGGAGATCGTTTTGACACGGATCCAGACTTCTAAAATTTTTTTCAAATTTTAAAATGAATTTTAAAATTTTTGAAATTCATTTTAAAATTTGAAAAACGTTCTAGAACAGCGGATCTGTGTCAGAACGATCTTCATGGTTATGTGCATTTATGTGCAAAATTCGAAAGGGATCGGTCCATAATGAGACTTTTAGTACACCTGAATGCATTTAAACTTTTTGGGATTTTGAAACCCTCATAACTTCGCAACCAGATGTTGCGCGCGCAAACGGTTTTCTCACCTAGGTATACAATTCTTCTGGCTACAAAATACCATAAAGCAATGAAAAAAAGAGTTTTGGAGCGCTCAACAGCGAAAGTTCCCCTGGATGTACACGAACTTGGTGCTATGTACCGGGCCAAATCCCTTGAAGGATTCAATGTACCGGCTGCAGAATTTAATAAAACTTTGGTGAAGGCTCCGCATACCACCTTTATACCACCGTTGACTCCTAGTACCACCTTTCACACCACCTTTGGCTTTTAATACCCCTTTTTGCACACTACTTTTGACTCCGCATACCACCATTAAATTTTAAAATTTTAAGCAGAAGTTAAACTGCTATCAAGTGAATTTTGTGGTATCACGAAGCGAGATCCAAATTTTTTCGGTATACCAGCTGCAAAAAGACGGCAGTTCGAAGGCGTTCAGTACCGCAATCGACGCTATGGAAAAACAGTACGAACACACACCGGAGGTTCTTTTTCTGGATGCAGTCTATACTGTCAACGTTGCAAACATCGCACACTGGAAAGAAGTATCCGAAAATGGATAGTGGAGTTTTGTGAAAAGAAAGAACTTCTAACCCTTAAAACTACATAGGCGAGCCGGTAAACATAAAAATCATGGTTTAATTGAATAACCTCTCATGCAGCATTATATGAAGAGCCGATCTTTAACTTGGCTGCACAGGCAAACCAATCGGATGTCCCAGGTACCATTATTATTTCATGATAAACCAACTGGAAAAAAATTAAATGGTGGTATGCGGAGTCAAAAGTGGTGTACAAAAGGTGGTATTAGGAGCCAAAGGTGGTATGAAAGGTGGTACTAGGAGTCAAAGGTGGTAAAAGGTGGTATGCGGAGCCTTCACCTAAAACTTTTGCTTCGCCTCTTATATTATTTCGAAATACCGGTTAACAGAACGAGTATCGAGCAGGAAGACGCAACACAAAAAAATTATAAAATAATGAAATAATGCATTTATATGGCATGGAGAAAAAGTTGCGCTCCTGCTTGGACGGTGACCGGCGATCCGGGACTTCTAGGGTCATCGTCCACCTTGTCGGTGGGTTGGTCGGCGTTAAATTGCCGTTGCACTGTGTAGAAAACGTTATCCTCCATCAGGACGCGCGGTATAAGACATGTCACAAAATTCACCTATGGCATGGTTAGTACGTTAAATTTTTTCGGGCTTGTGTTTTTACTTGTATCCACAGTATCCCACCGTATGCCACAGTATCCTCTATGTATCCTTCATGCGTCTCCTCATATCTATATTCTACTTTTTTTTAATAATTGCAGTATCCCATCGTATCTGTGCAGTATCCGCCATGCATGCCAAATGTATTCCATTAGGGCCAGAAAATATCGGGTTACTCGACGGATACAGCAAGGATACGTTACGATGCGTTGGGATACTGCAGTTGCTTACTGCAGTTACCCTCAAACCTGTATTCAGCAGGATACATGAAGGATACGTATACTAGGAAAGTGCACTCGCTTTTTGCGGGCACTGCATGACCGAAGCGTAGCGTGCTACATAACGGTTTTTTTCCGGAATGAACCATTTAAAGCTGCCTTCTTCAAAGTTATTATTTTGTCAAAGAATTAATAATCGCGCAGTTTTTACAAAAAATGAAGAGTGCATTTCCTGATATGGTCAAAGAACCGCCTCTTGTATTTCGACACAGGTAATTATTGTAATCAATTCCCAAAATCAATTTCTTAATTTATCTTGTTTAAATTCTACCTTCTTTGTTTCAAAAATAATCGAAAACATACGTTTGTCAGTGTTAATAGAACAATGGGTTCTTGATATACTTGGTCCGTCTAAGGTCCAAGTATTTCCAGTCATACATAAAAAGAGCAACAAAAAATCTAACGGAAAAAAAGCCGATACAAGCATGAATTGTACTCCTGCAGAACCGCTGAAGAAAGATCCAGTTACAGGTATAAACTACCCACCTGAGAATTTATTTTCTAACAACAAATGGTGGATGAGAACTATGCAGCTTTCCGAAAAAGATAAAACTGACATCGAGAACGATTATTTGATTTCTATAAATGTCATCGATGCAGCTATATTCTTGCTGAAGAAGAAAAACCGATCAAGGCTGTGCGAAGCAAAGCCGTTTTTTTCTGGACTCAACTACTTGGCCGAAATGCACCTGCAACCAACTGCCAACACATGTTCTTTCGGGGATTCCGCTTTGCAAATATTGTTCGTAAATGGCAACCATTTTCAGCTAGCGTTGCGCAAAGACAAAGAAATTCTTATATACGACTCTATATCCCGAATCCATACTGACCAGCAAAGTCTTACAAAGATCGAATGTTCAAGTAATTGTGAAATGGAATTACTGCATCCATCAGTACAAAGCCAGCTTAATGGAGTTGACTGTGGAAAATTTTGCATCGCTTTTGCAACAGCAATCCTCAACGACTTAAATCCGGTAGAACTGTCGTTTGAGCGTGGCAGTATGCGAAGGCATCTCATTCAGTGTATTGAAACCGGCAAAATTACAGTATTTCCTCAACTTAAAGGTCACGACTCTTCTCGTACAGTTTCATGGATCCACAAGATACAATTGTGATCGAAATCAAGACAGCCTCCGAAATAACACCATGGCAACCAACGATGGTAAGCCCAATTTAGTACATTAATAAAGAACTGAAGAGCAACTTACGAGTATTTTCCCTAACCAAAAAAAACCAGATTCTTACAGATCGTATACGGCATTTTGTTATCCTTTAAATGAAATACATATTTAGCAATGGCCAATAAACTCCAGCCTGGAAGTATCTCTTTAATCTTCGAGAACGAACAGCTCCCTGATCCTGCCACGGTGTTTCAAGTGGCCAAAACCGAGAAAAGTGGGGCATGGGTGACGCTTACCCTGAGCGATGGGAATACGCAATCAAACAGTATGTATAAGGCACACATGAAACACCTACCTTGAAGTCTTTCCAAAACCATATTATGATGAAGCGTAATAAAAATGAATTAACTTTAGAAACATGTTGATATTTAACAAAACTAGTTATCCTAATTTGCAGAATTTAAAATTCGAACTCCGAATATGGAAAAGACAGGAGAAGACATCGTACTGTCCTTCGTGCAAATTGAACAGGCTTTCCTCCTGGGTAGCGGAAGCAAGTGAGAAAACATACACTCTGTTCTGTTATCACTGCTACTATTTTAGTTAACTCTGTTCACCGAATAGTGAGGCAGTATGTTAAGAAACTGGAATAGTTATTAATACTAGAAACGTAGCGCCGTGATTAGCAATTTTTTTTGTACATCGTGACGTTCTGCAAATCTATCGGGCGGATACAGTATTGCCGTATTTATGCACTTACAGTGCCGGACTCCCACATAGCCATTGAAGCCACATTAATTTTAATTTCGTTGTAACACTAAACGAAAAAAACGTTGCAGTACAATGCGCAATAGGGAAACGAGTAACTGAAGTACCACTACTGTACAGTGCATCAATATCCTACTTGCTTATTTTATTTTTCTTATTTTCTTTTTTTCTTATTTTCCTATTTTATTATTTTTTGCTTTTCTTATTTCCTTATTTCCTTATTTCATTATTTCCTTATTTTCTCATTTTCTCATTTTATTAATTTTGAATATTTATTTTCAGTGATGTTAAATTTTTATTCTTCTGTACAGGGTGATGCAAAGAACACTTTGTACCTATTTTATCCAGACCTATTTATTAATTAACTGGTTCAGAGAAACATGACTGGCTACAGAGAGTAAAAGGAAAAGTAGTACCGGGTGGCTGAACAAAATGGAACAAAAACTGAGAGGGCCATTTTGTTCGTCCATCCGGTAATTATTTATTGCAGTGTAATACAGATAAAACGTCCTAAAGACACAAGAAAAAGTTCGCTCACTGTTCGGTATACACTGACAACAATAATTAAGTGTCGGTTACCTATATTTAGGTTACGTGTGTCTATTACCAACCTAAAGCTGACAAATGACGTCCAAAAACAACCGGACTGCAACTTCCGGGAAATTTTAACGTGTCATCGTTCATCGCCAATTACGAAAGGAAAAACTTTCGCGAACACGACAAGTACAGCAAAAATATTCTCTTAAATAATCTTAACTTAACTTACTCCAACGTTTTAATCAAACATATCCACGAATATATCCAGTAATCTGTTTCCAGACCGCTCATCTTTACTGTCGTTCACACCACGGCGCCATATAGCACAGCACACGGTGGTGAAGCCATTAATATTATGGTTTCTGATCATTCGGGAAGCGCAATACTGTCATCTTTAAACAGTGACGTGTCAAAGCTGCAGCAACTTATTGTTGGAAAGGTAAATAGTTTCCGATGTCGCTGTCCCAAATTTTTTTAAGATTTATTAAAGATATATCAATTCTAATTTATTTGTATATGAAGTTAACCGATTTCCATTTAACTATTTCCATATATATAAAAGGTGACCTTCGACAATAAGCCGGAACCTTTTCAACACTAAAACAGTCACACTGCTTCTGTAGACTTATCGGATGAAATTCTATGACGTCAGCGAACTGAAGGCGAACTTCCGAAAGGAGGCATCAGTATTGGTCCAATTTTATACGACAGCGAAGACACTAATTGAGTCGGCAATTGAGAATCCAGTTGACATCGAAACTATCACGCCACTATCACAAGCTCATGAGCATGCCGATCTAAAGCGTAAGAAGTAAATCTGTCACAAATTTAATATGAAAATAATAATTCTATAACATGACAATACTGATATGACAATACTGACTGATAACAGAAACAATATTTCCTTTTGCGGCATCAAAATTTACGTTATAATAATATAAGCTAACAGTATAAGGTTTACTGAACACTACTGCATGTGTCTTTAGACTACATGACCTTCGTGGAAAGTGTGGGATACTTGGACAACCAGAAGAAAACAAGGAACGGAGAGCGAGCATTTCGCACATTAAAAGTGTGGGACTGCTCGCAGGCCTTGCCCTACGAGTTGATTTATGGGGGCACCTTGTAAGCCGCAAACTGCATTTTTTTAAACAACAAACCATAAAAATTGCATATGCTAAATTACCTTTAACTAAATTATCTTTAAAGGCTACCATCTTCATCCCAGCCGTCTACGAGAAAAAAATTGTTTTCTTTCACAACCTTATGCACACCAGCTACAACAATGGTGGTCTCCAATCCGGCTACAATAAAACATATTTTTACATTTCTGAAAGTTCACCGGCACTGACCATCAAGAACTGGGCACTGGAAATCGGCCTGATGGACCCGGACTCGGAAGAAGAAGTTCACACAGCTAACGCAACCGACATTGCCACTAAACGCCCGCTTGTTGGGGAGGCACCAACCCAAACAACCAAAAAAGGAAGAACTTCAGCTGTACCCCCCGGAAACTGACTACCGAACATTCGCTGACGACAAAAAGATGCTGCCTCCCCGCAGAGTATTCCTAGTTCATAAACTGAACGCTAGCCCTTATTGTACATAACATAGAATACTACTCCATTGAATACACCGCAACTTATGCATAATAAAATTTTCTGCTGATACAGCCGCAAGTTGGCCGCAGAGCATTTCCTGTCATTTGACAAATCCAAAAAACTAAGCAAAATCTGTTGTCCTACACAAAAACCAACTTTTTTCAAACAAAATGCTTCCTCGAATAAGCTACAGCCTTTGAAATCTAAACTAATTTTTTAACCCAGTCGTAAGCCAATATTCATCCGTGCTCAGCTTGTTATATGAATACTAAACATCTCTTGCAGAGGTTCGGCCTCTCTTCATTGTCCCGGGTGATCTCAGCTCCCGATAAACCGATTTTCATGCTTTAACATATTCTAGAATCCTTTCAGGGCGGTGGGTGTTGTGAGAGGACCTTTTCCTATTTTAAGAATTCTCAGGCCGGTGGTCACTCAAAAGCTTGTTACCATGGTTGCCATAGGGCTAACATGAGCTGACCTGTTACCACGGGCACGTTATACTGCACTTGCACAAGAAACAGTTTTGCTTCGCCTGTTTTTCTTGTGGTTAACCGACGGAAACCGTGCTTATGTCAATCAATTCATAATTTGATATTGGATCTTTTTAGATTTTGGTAAGATCTGAAATGAAGTCGAAAAGCACATTACCGTTTTCTAGTATTTCACTTGATTCACTGTCGCACCTTGCGGCCCAATGCACTGAGCTGTATCAACAGGTCGGTCAATCATTCACATAATCATAGCAGCCCTGTTCACTAAACAGTAATACTACGACGTAATTCTACGACTTCGAGTAACAAAAAATCCTAACTCACTTATTTACATTACCCAGTCGTAAGCCCATATTCATCCGTGCTCAGCTTGTTATCTACATCCGGATGTTCTTACGCTATTGCGCGGATGTTCTAACGCTATTGCGCCATCGATACGCCCCAAAAGGGAAGGAGTAGTCCCAAAAAACAAATTGTTGCCATGGGCCCCCATAGACATACATGGTAAATGCATTGTCTGTTCGCGGACCGTTAGGAAAAACCGAGACAGACCGCGGCCTTCAGCATCGGCACGTTACAAATTATTGAAAATTTAAAAAACATGGGAAAAAATTAATCGCAGTTAATCCCACCAGCGTGATCGGTATACCTCGTATTCTTTCATATACTATATTTCTTAGGTTTTCTTAGGTGTTCTCAGGGTTCTTAGGTATTCTTAGGTTTCTTAGGTTTCTTAGATTGTTTTGGCTTCTTAGTATTTTTAGGTTTCTTAGGCTTTTTTAGGGTTCTTAAGTTTTCTTGGATTTTCTCTTTCTTAGTTTTCCTAGTTTTCTTAGCGGCTGGGACCAATGCGATCAACCTTTGCGAAATGTGGATTGCGTAACAAACTTGCGCCGCAAAAGTTTGTGTACGGATGTAGATCCCGTAATCTGGTTATATGAATACTAAACATCTCTAGCAGGTGTTCGGCCTCTCTTCATTGTCCCGCCTCATTTCAGCTCCTACTAATCCGATTTTCCTGCTTCAAAATATTTTAGAATCCTCTCATGGCGGCGGGTGTTGTGAAACTAATAACCTTTTGCTGTCTTAAGAATCGTGTGGCTAGTGGTCACTCAAAAACTTGTTACCATGGATTCCATAAGGCTAACATGGGCTGGTCTGTTACCACGGTCACACTGTACTTACTATATTATAGTCCGTGCGCCAACACGAATTACCTACAAAGTTTACCCTTTACCTACTTACACCGAAGCTCGAAAAACGCCTGATTAGCTGGGCTTGGATGTAGGTCCATTTTTGCTCGAAGTCTGTCGCTGGGCGGTGTCGAAAGCCGTTACACAGATGGGCGTACCTTGTAACGGGTCTAAGCGACGCCCTTTTACTTACAAACTTCGGTTTTCTACGATTTTAATTGGTGGGTCAACATTTGAGTTAGATCGAAGCTGCCCACCGCCAATGGCAAAATTCGAAACCACGTGGTATAGATTCAGTACTTCAAGCTATCAAGAAAAATCACGACCTGCTTGCTGTGTTCTTTACTTATTTTAATCCGAGTATTCTTTCACATTCAGTTAATTTTTGAAATATTTATCCACATAAATGGCCCTATGAAAAGCTGTTCCGTATGAAAAGCTTTCTCATTTAACTATTGCCGGAGATCGTGCAGGGTAGCCTGCTAACTGGGTTCCCAGTTGTTTGCGACTGAGCTGTTATCGTTATCACTGTTACAGGCATGTGTTGTTTACCCTGTACCCACTCAGATATTTTGTGGATAAGTATTTGAGCAAGTTATGCAGATATGCTAAGTAGCTGGAAAAATTTCAGATCTTTTCCGCTTTCTTGGAAAATCTGCAAAACATTGTTGTTAACGTCTCTTCAGTTATCTTGCGGGGAACCCTGCGTGCTGGCTAGCCAGCTGGCTGTTGTTAAAGCAGCGGTACCTACTGGGCACTGTGTTTGATTCTTGCCAGCCTTTATTTATTGGATAGCCATGCATGGTAAGGAAGACAATCGAATGATTATTTTTATTATTTTATGGCTGTCATAGTATCGAACTACTTCCAACCAAAACTTTCAGAGCATATTTTGATTACTCTTTTTCATCGGGCTGCGGGTTCCCGCTTATCTGGCTACCCAGAGAAAGATATTTGAAAAATAACTGCCGTTTTGCTGCTGTGCTGTGTATAAGGCCAGCTTGGTGAGATTTTTAAGTTGCGAGCTAAGGTATTTATATTTTTGACGTCAGAAAAAATGTCTCAAAAGCAGTAATTTCAATAAATATCGGCATCAAACAACATGTATAAATTGTACATGTCAGCGTCGCCTATTGAAGTAAGTGCGTCCTGGCTGTTTTGCGCACACCGTCCGGGTTAACACGGACAGACTTACACGCAAAGCCGTGAAAACGGGCGCGGTTTTGCATACTTTGTATGTAAGTGCACGCTGAATTCGGTGTAAGTAAGTCCCTGATGCGCCTATGCGCAATTACTGTATTCTCTCGTACTGTAACAAGACACAGCTTGTTAGAGTACGAGCTTTTTGTTCTTTTGATACAGTAAAGTGAGTTGCAACTACAGTCTTAGGAAAAAGTAATAAAATAGCGCTGCATTTACTGGGGTGGTAGACTGGTAGTAAACACCAAAAACACTCAAATTTGACAGTTAAGCTCCATATTATTAGAAAGGCGGAAAAAAATTCCTTGGGGAAGCTGCAGAATACCATTTCCGTTTAAAATTAAATTTTCTCCGAAATCACAAACTGATCCGGCACCGATGCAGCAAAATAATTTACAGTAATGCCCAAGAAAAACGCATAACAATGCACAAGAAAGCGCAAAAGCAAACCAAACGCTAATAAGTAGTCGTAAGCCAATATTCATCCGTGCTCAGCTTGTTAACTACATCCGTAACAGCCATGACGGCCTTTGCTAAGAAAATTATGTTTGGCCGAACGGGTAGGCCGATTTTGACGCGGTAAAGTGCGCCAGAATCGTCGCAGCGAAGCGGGTGATGTTGCGCTATTGCCGACCTGATGCGCCTCAAGGGGGAGCACGACCCTCAAAAAACAAATTGTTGCCATGGGCCTGCAAGTCTCGGCTTCCGACCTCGCTCCAAACCGGTTAACATAAAGTATAGGCACACGAGCTTGCACGAGAATCATTTGCACGGCAGATCGGCCCTCTCGGCCTCGGCTCGAATAATATTAGGAAAAATAGCACAGAACTGTACCGGAACAACCGTGACGTTCTAACCTAAAAAAGCAGTGTTTGACTGAACGGGTAGGCAGATTTTAACGCGGTCAAAAATGGCAGAATCGCCGCAACGACGTTATGTTTCTTATGTTTTCTTACTTTTTTTCCTAAATTTTTTTCGAAACAAATGCGCCCCGAATCTGGTTACGGATGTAGTCCTCCGTAAACTGGTTAACTACATCCGTAACAGCCGTGACGGCCTTTGCTGAGAAAATTATGTTTGGACAAACGGGTAGGCCGATTTCGACGCAATAAAGTGCGCCAGAATCGTCGCAACGAAGCGGGTGATGTTGCGCTACTTCCATTCCGATGCGCCTCTAGGGAGAAGCAGGAGCCCCCAAAAACAAATTGCTGCCATGGGGCTGCATGTCGCGGCTTTGGACATCGCTTCAGACTAAGTATTGTACTAGTCAATGCAAAGTGTTGTGACTTATCTTCTCAGTTGCGTAAAGGAAACAACGCGCCCCGGCCACCGGCCTCGAAGCGCAAAAAAACGAAATTAAATCGCCAAAATTAACGCCGATCACTAAACCCGACGCCGACGAATTAGTTACGGATGTAGTGCTCCGTAAACTGGTTATAGGAGTACTGTACATCTCTTGCAGGTTTTCGGCCTCACCTCTTTGTTACCTATGTTCTCGGCTTCCACTGAGCCGATTTTGCAGCTTTAAATTTTCACAGAATCTTTTCAAAACGTAGAGTAACACAAACCTAGTGGTTTTTTTACTCTTACAAGTAGGATAAGCCCAGTGGTCACTCAAAGGCTTGTTGCCATGGATGCCATAGGGATAACATGCGCTTGTCTCTCACCACGGGCAAATTAGGGTTTACATGTAACAAGACACAGCTTTGGCTTCGCCTCTGCGTTCCTTGTGAACCACATACCGAGTGAACAAATGATTCGGTTAGTTTTAAAATAAAATGAAAACTAGCAGCCGAGGCACAAACGAAACAAACTTTAATTGCGAAAGGTCAACATCTGAAGAACCGGGCATTAGATATTGGCCTAACCGACCTCAACTCATACGAAAAAGTGCAAACTGCTAACGTAATAGATGATGCTAGTAAACGTCCGCTTGTTGACTAGTCACCAAACTAGATGCAGGAACAGAAAAAATTTCAGCTGATACAAACGCAAGTTGACCGCAGAGTATTCC